CTATCAAGACTGATCAATTTCTCAGATTAAGGGATGGAATTGGTGTTACAAGTTTTGATGGAATATGAATTAAGGGATGGTATTAGTAATAATTCATATTTTATTATATTATTTTCTTAAGCCCATAAGTTTGTTAGAGGGTATTTTAGTATTTTATCTTATTCTAGTAACCCTAGTTTTAGCCTATAAATAGGGTGACAATCATTGTAACTCTTAATTCTGTTTCTTCTGCCGTTATTCTCTTTAATAGAATATTTCCCTATTTTTCATCATTTATTCTATCTTTGCACCAACAACACCAAATCACACAATCTTCGCCTAAGCCTTCTAACATTAAGATTAGCAGTAGTAGTTTAAGAACAAGAAGTAACAAAACTTGACACCAGGGTTCTTCATGACGGCCTTTAGTGATTTTGATGAACTACAACTATCATGTATTTACAATGTATCAACAATGCCATTTGTTGAGGATCTCTCTCAACTGATGGCTACTGAACAAGAATAAAAGCCCCAATGTTTGAACTTCCATATGGATTTGATTAAAAATATTTTTTTGTCTTTATAAAGCTCACATTAATTAAAGATTGTCAAAAAAATTGTTTTAAAAATTTAAAGAAAAATAAATTTCAAGAATTAAATTTGTTTTAAAAATAAAAATATAAAGAAAAGTATTTTTTAAGAATTAAAATTGTAAGGGTTAAATATGTTTTTGATCCTTATAAAATATTAAATTTTGTTTTTGATCTCTATAAAAAAAATAGCGTGTTTTTCTCCCTACAAAATAATTATGCACGTAATTTTAGTCCATACTGTTAAACTAATGTGTATTTTTGAATGATTATTTTGTAGATATATTTAGAATGTTATAAAAAGTTTCTCAAAAAAAAGAATTCAAAATTTAATTTATAAGTCGAGATTTTTATTACTTTTATCATTATTTTTTTTAATTTAAAAAATTCATATTTAATTCTTCTTATTTAAAAAAATTACATAATTTGGTAAAGAAACATTTTATAGTAATTTAAACACGTATGAAAAAAATTATTAAAAAATTTAAAAATTTAGGAGTAATTAAATAATTTTCAAAATTTTAAAAAATAGTAAGGAATAAAACTACATGCATAAAATTTTTGTAGGGACTAAAATATGTCTTTTTTTTTATAGGAATTAAAAATGAAATGTGAGAAATTTATAAAGACAAAAAACATATTTAATTCAAATTTTTATTAAGAAATAAATTGGAATTTTATATTTGTTATTTTTTAATTTCAAAATTTTTTATGCAATATACATAAACATGGAGACGGATGAAAAATATTCAACAAAAATTTAATAGAGTGATAAAAAACTGAATTTTATTTTAAAAAAGACTAAAAATTTTAAAATATCAAAATGGAGGAACTAAAACAACATTTAAGTTATTTTGTTTTTTTCAAGGTCATTAGTTGGTTTTGTTTCGGGGGGGTATTTTGTATTTTGTAATTGTAATTTTTGTTTTTTTTTTTCCTAGTCTATAATTGATTTTTTTAAGCAACATGTATTCAAGAGATGTACAAAGGTAAACCAGCCTATTTATAAAGAACACAAAACAAACTGTAAAGAACACCCCATCATTTAACTTAACCCTACTATGGCACATCTATCTCAAAAAATCTTTTGGAGCTTTGAACCATTCATAAAAGCTACACCTACACGAGTTAGTCGACCAGAACCTCAACCACCACTAAGACATTTGGATAGCCCTCATAGTAATGTCAGTAGGGTAACTGATAACATCGTTGAATATAATTTGGTTACGAGTCGACCAGATAACCCAACACGTGATTATCCAAGTTACGTACGCCAACCCCTTGGAACAATAATGTGTGACATGTATAAACCAGCTCAACATATGCGGCCAACATGTAATAACATCTTTAATTCCCATCCAACTCGTAATATCCTTCCAAACAATACAGATACGAGGGCAAGAACAAAAAATATGGTCATTATCCTCCACTGCACTAAAACAAAAGGCACACACAATATCATGAGGGTTAGAGATTACACTCCTGACTAGAAGATTGGCTCTTGTAGACAACCTATTTAACGCTAGCCTCCAAGCGAAACATTTAGCTTTCAACGATAACCTAATTTGCCACACCAAATTTAACACAGCCTTGAGTGAAATCTCTAGCTCAGAATTTCCTTCCACATAAATTAAAGCAGCATAACATAACTTGACTGAAAAAGAAAGTAAGTGACAATGTCTCCAAAAGAATGTGCCCTCCACCCCCAGCAATGGTTTAACTTCCTGAAGCAGATCCACCATCTCCCTAAATTCCTCCAACACAGTAGCAGGAAGACCCTGCTCTAAAACTTGCAGATATGTTACTACCAGAACTGAGCCCCTACCTCCTTGACAACATTACCTTTCAAAACCGAGACACCAAAAACATTTGGAAATAGGCATTTTAAAGGTTCCTGCCGAATCCAACTCGAGTGCCAAAATGATATGTTACTACCAGAATCAAGTTTGCAGGATATCAGTCTCTCAAAACAACTCACTTCTGATGAAACGCACGCCTTCATAATATCTCTCCACCAAAGTGAACCGCATTTGCCACCCCTAACATCCCTCATGACCATAATAGCTTCAGCCAACCTACCATTCTTAAACTCAATAACCCTGCGCCTGACTAATGAATTCACATTCAGAAATTTCCAAAGCCACTTCATTAAAAGAGCCTTATTAAAAGCTACTAAATCCAAAATGCCCAGGCCTCCATGACTTTTTGGCTTACAAACCTCCTTCCAACCCACCCAAGTTATGCTTCTCTTTTCAGATGAGGCACTCCAAAGAAAATCACATTGTAGCGCAATTAACAACTTAGCAACTTTTGAAGGAAGTTTGAAAAAAGATAAATAATGAATAGGCAGATTGGAAAGGACAGACTTAATGAGAGTAAGTCTTCCCCCAAACGACAACAGCCGATCACGCCACGTTGACAACTTAGATTTAACACAATCCAAAATCAGATTCCAAAAGTCCAATCTCCTATAATTACCACCCACTTGAATACCTAAGAATTTGAATGGCAACACTTCATATTTGCAGGAAAGAAAGTGAGTTGCAGCAGACATGAAAGAGGTATCCAAGCCAACATCATACATGCAACTTTTCTAAAAATTGATTTTCAACCCAAATAACATTTCAAAACCTCTCAATATAACTTTGATACTCCAAAAATCAGCATATATCACTATTGACGCGGTTTCACTCTCGCTTATTGAAAAACCTTTAATCATTTTGTATTTTCTTAATACCCTTTGTATTTAGTTTATTTTAGTGTTAATATATATATTATATAATCAACATCTAGTTTAATATAACTGAAAAAGATTATAAATACACATAAGTAAAATACAAAATGTCAATATTTTTTCAACCAAAAAAAAGTCCCAATATTTTGAACTTTTTCCTACAAAATTCACATTAGAGGTTACTATGAATTAATAATTAAAATAAAATCTTATGATGGGCTAGCTACTATGTGATTGTGATGCACATTCTACCGTTACTAATCACGAGTAAAGTGCATTTCTAAATTTTAGAAAGTTTGAAAATTTATAAGGACCAACGGATGTGAGACTCAAGTGATGTACTTTAATGCAGAAAAGGAAATTGTTTTTCTAAAAAAAGGTTAAATAATAGTATATAAAAAGTTTTGTTATCTATGTAAAAAAAAAAGTAAAATAAACTATTTAAAAAATTTAATTTAAAACAAACTTTTACATAGATTTACAAGCTAAACCAAACTTTTTAAAAGATCAGAATATAGCAAAATAAAAAAACCTATAGTAGACAGTAGACCAAACTTAAACATTAAACATTTATTGTAAACCAATCTCAACTTTTAAAATTTGAACTAACCTATTTCCACATTGCTATTGACATCTAATTATAAATCTATATTTTTAGAAGGTAACCAAGCCTCTTAAAATACATAATATCCATTTAATGAAAATGCCTTACAATCTATTATTTTTCAAAATTATAATCCATGAAATTTATATAAAAATATTTATTATTTCAATAAATATTAAATTAATTAAATGAAAATGCCTCACAGTCTATTATTTTTAAAATTATAATTCATAAACTTTATATAAAATAGTTATTATTTCAATAAATATTAAATTAATTAATTTTACTATTAATTAAAAATAGATGAATTGATTACATTTTTAAAAAAATTAATAATTTATAAATATCAACAATTTATTTACAATAATACACAAATATAAATAAATATTATCATCATATATTGAACATTAAACTAAATAATTTCTTTTGTAATAGAATTACATTAATTCAATGAATAATTTTATATTTTAAAACACTTAAAACATAAAATTTACCAAAATTAATAAATTTATTAAAATAATATTATAATTTATAAAAAGATACTGTCTTAAAATCGCCTCAAATCTCAATATACCACCCTATATGAAATATAGCAAAATGATAAATTTTTATTGATTACAAATATAAAGAAAAGTCAACCCATAATTTCTTCAAAAACTAAAACCAATAACATATCCTTTAAATTCAAATATATTACACATAACTAATCCATTACATATTAAATAAAATAAATATGTTGAATGACCTATGACTAATAAGTAATAACGATGACTATTAAACTAAAAAATAAAAAATAAAATAAAACAAATACATAGAAATTAAAATATAAAAAAAAAAAGAAGAAAGAAGAAAGAAAAGCAATTAGTACATACACACAACAAGAAATGAATGAGTGAGAATCATGTGAAGTGCCGCCACTCTCTCTCTCTCTCTCTCTCTCTCTCTCTCTCTCTCTCTCTCTCTCTCTCTCTCATAATCTTCTTCCCTTTCTCTCAATCAAAAGCTTCATCCTTTATCATCCAACAAAACACCCATTTCTGTTTTCGTAAATTATCCTCACAGATTCTTCTTCTCCTTCTTAGTGGTTTCAACAATGGCTACAACAGCTTCAAGGTTCATCAAGTGTGTCACAGTTGGAGATGGAGCTGTAGGGAAAACCTGCATGCTCATTTGCTACACCAGCAACAAGTTTCCCACTGTATCCATTCTTTCACTTTTTCTTATTATTTATTGCTTTTGATTTCTAAATGGGCCAATTTCTGTATGTTTGTGTTTCATTGGTTCTCAATTCTGTTTGGATTTTGGTAATTTGAATAAAGGAAACATTTTTGTGTATGGGGGTAATAGAGAATACTGTAATCTAGTTGGGTTGTTTTCTCGTTGGAGTGTGTTTGTTGAGTGTAGAATCAACACATTTTTGTTGCTTATTATGAGTTTTTTCTGTGTGTTTTGTTATAATCTGATTTTTTTTTTTGTTTTGTGTTCCTGTGTTTGTTATTCAGGACTATATTCCTACAGTGTTTGATAATTTTAGTGCAAATGTGGTTGTTGAAGGCATAACTGTCAATTTAGGCCTCTGGGATACAGCTGGTATGTTCACTTTCTCACTCTTTGTTGAAGTGCCTTTTTTGTTTCTGTTATACCGCGTGTGTCGGGTTCTGTTGTGACGGTAATTGATTTTGAATGAATTAATTCCAATTAAAAGTTGGTTGATCGTAAGATGATTTATGTTTAGATACATTCATGTAAAAGTAAAAGTGAGTTGAACAATAGATCCGAGACAAAATTAATTTCTTTGTGTGGTTGATTTGATTTTGTCGAATTGAAAAGCTTGTTTTGTTGTGTTTGTTTCTGATTTATTCCTCAGGGCAAGAGGATTACAATAGGTTGAGGCCTTTGAGTTACAGGGGTGCAGATGTTTTTGTCTTGGCTTTTTCTTTGATTAGTCGTGCAAGTTACGAGAATGTGTTCAAGAAGGTATGATTTTATGCTTGTGTTTCTGAAATAGTACTTTTGCTTGTATTGCAGATTTCTCTTTTGGTTTCTAATTTTGTGTACACTGTTCAGTGGATCCCTGAACTCCAGCATTTTGCTCCTGGTGTTCCTGTTGTACTGGTTGGAACCAAATTAGGTAAGTCATCAATCACTTGTATCAGTCTCATGCTAATTTGTCTTCTAAAGTATGAACTAGATATGAGGAAATGCGTCACAATGAGACTAGAAGTGTGACACAGTAGCAACTGGCCTGTATTCTTAGATTAGAATCTTAAACTGGTATTTTGTTATATTGAACACTGCTGTCAAATATCGGCCATGGGGGATATATGTGGCGGGTTTTTTTTGCTCTCCACCATGGCAAAATTTGGGAAGGATGGTGGTGCCACGTAGCCGTATGCGGATATGGCGGCTCCATGTGTTGTGCTTTATGTCGGATTTTTGGCTCTCCGCTATCGATAATACTGATATAGAAATATATGGCCATTTTGCATAGATTTATTGATTTCCTTATATGGACACTTTTTATCCAAACTATGCATACTTTTTAAAAACTTTACAAACTAAATAAAAAATTAAAGGTTGCCATTCACGTAAAACGGTCAAATTATCATAGGGCAAGGAAAGGTCCAAACTTTTCAGTACAAGTCTGATATAGTAAAGACTTGTTTTATTTAAAATCAAAATCTATTGTATCACACGTGAGTAATCCATTAAGGAAATCGTATCAACATAAAAGCATTTTACTGTAACTATTGAGAGTTCCATATTTCATGAGATATGGCCTAAAAATATGCTTATAAGTGGAAGATATTCATCACCTTAAAAGCCAACTTTTGTAGAGTTGAGTTAGGTCCAATCCGAAGTTTTAGATGGTCTCAAAGTTTGTCCGAAGATTCGATTGTCCACCTTCTAAATTTATGGTTTTGGATGTGATAGGGTGTGTTGAAAGTCCCACGCATGATGAAATGTGGCCTGAAAATATGCTTATAACTGAGGGGTGCCCACATCTTAGAAGCCGATTTCGTAAAATTGGGTTAAGGCCAGCCCAGATTTTTAAAGTAACAATTTTTTATCTCAATAATTGCTTGTATGATCATTCCTCACACAAAGAAAGTCTAAACCTATGCCATTGATTCTGTAGGATTTAGTTAGTACGCACCCAAGTTTTAACAGTAACAATTCTTTATCACATAAAGGAAAGTCTAAGTTTATTCACCTAATTGAAAACACATGGATAGAAATTTGGATCACCAGGAGGAAGGCTCATAGTAATATTAGAGAAAGGTTTCATAAATGACTTAATTTCAGTGACGCTTCATAATGCAAAATGTTGGCCATTAACTGTAGTATTACCACTCAGACTCAAGTTGAATGGAGAAGAGATTACTTTTAGATCTTAGAGGTCTGATTAATGTGATTCTCTCCTAAATTTCGCTGTCTTTCCTCTTTGATGTGGAAGGCATCACACATATCCGCTATTATCCACATAGTTCCCATTTTTAACTTCAATATATCCCAAAATATATTGCAATGTTGCTTCCATTTTCAGATAATATTTATCCTGGAGACAGAAAATTACTATGGCAGGGAAATAAATTCACTTTGAAAATCTATTATAATTATGCAAAGTGGTAGTTTTGATGTGTATTGCTATGGATCACTGCTTGTAATACTGTGTTTATGATGAACATGCAGATCTCCGAGAAGACAAACACTATTTGGCTGATCATCCTGGCATGGTGCCGGTGACTACCGAACAAGTACAAATCTTCCTTTATTTGCTGTATATATAGAGCTCAACATGCAGTGTTTTCTGAAACTGTTCACTTTTGTTCATAACTAGGGTGAGGAACTTCGGAAACAGATTGGAGCTACATATTATATTGAATGCAGCTCAAAAACTCAACAGGCATGTTTATTCAACAACAAAGCAATGCCAAATGTCGTTTTAGTTTTAGTTCATTTTTCCACATGACGTTTGATGTTGCACAATCTACTGTTGTCTCGGTTTAGTTCAATAAACAATCTTCATTATTTCGTCAGTCATTGATGTTTTATCGAAGCTCGTCCAGAAACTAACTAAGTTATTCACAACACTATTGCAGAATGTGAAGGGAGTTTTTGACGCTGCGATCAGGATGGTCATCAAGCCTCCACAAAAGCAACACGAGAAGAGGAAAAAAAAGCATCACGGCTGTTTCCTGTTAGTACATTTTTTCTGCATTATATTATATCAACTGCTTTGTATTTTGTTACATGTTGCAACTTTCCATGCACACTTCATTTTTTTTCCATATTTTTGTTGACAACATGAACATCCCCAAGTTTATACTATTTTAATAGTTGCTTGCCCTTTAGTCAAAAAATTATTGTTAGAATAGCCACTCATAAGATATAATTAATAGTAACTTGTTAGGTACGGAACCTAAAACTGATGAAAAACAATGAATATGGTAGCTACTCCCATTAATTAAACCACCTTCTTTACAACTGGGATATATCATATACTCAATAAGTAGCAGTTGTAGTATGTGCTGTCTAGCACTTAACAATAAAAAACAATATCAACATTAGAATACCAAAAAAAATGTATACAAGAAGACACTTTGCTTATAATGTTTGGTTACTATCACGGTTCGTCATTAGCTTTTTAGTTGCAGATTTTGAATATTTCACAACTCTTTTTTTGAAAATGCAGAAATATCCTGTGTGGAAGGAATATCGTTCGTCATAAATGAAAATTGGTGGTAGTATTCGATCCAAATTTCGGAAAGTTTGTGACATGGGGAAGCAGTTTGCAGAAATTTTAAGCCTGCATAAAATCACTTTGGTGGAGTTTGCAGTATAGTATAGTACTATAGCTACTTACATTTGACCGATTTCAATTTAGTTTCTTGATAGGTTTGAGGAATTATGATATATTTGCAGCATATATATTGTAAAGAAAAGACAATTTGTTGGTTAGTTTCCAATTTGTTTGCATGTGATGGAGTTACTATTCTATGTACATACAGGCTTACAAAACCTATATTAATTAGTGAGCATTATCTGAGATTTAATGTCACTTGTGCAAAGTTTGCACTTGTTCTAGTCTAGACTAATATTTTACAAGGTTTTTTAATTGATACTTTCTCAGGCCATTTCTTTGGAACTTGGCTTGTTTGAGAAATGAGTAACTTACTGATGCAGGAATATTTTTTTATTTTTATATTATCTAGAAAAATGTTTATAATATATTTTAGAGTTGATTCAGTTTATATAAATATAAACAAAATTATAGTTTGGAAGAGCCTCCATATGATGAAATTTTCACTAAATCAATGGTTTCGAAAAAAACTTTGATATTATAAAGAAAGATGCTTAGAGGAGATTAGATGGGAAATAGGATCAAAGGTCAAGAACACGACCTCAGAACTCGATTCGATGTTGCTTATGAGAATGAAAAGAGAGAAAAAAAAAGTAAAATCATAAACAAAATAGGAATAACATTACGTATAACATAATATGACACGTGATTTATTGGATAATCAACAATTAAAAAGATTGACCCCAACTTGATTTGGGGACAAGCATTTATAAGAAAACAGTTTGATAAACTATTCTTTTCTTTTCTTTCGCAACATTATTTTGTTGTGGAGTGTTGACAGATGTCTTGTTTAGTGGTGAAGTTGATAAGATTATGATTGCTATAATTTTTTAACATTGACATAACATTATTTTAATGTTTTTGTGGTTGTAACATATTATAAAATTGAATAAATAATTGAGGTATTTATAATTTTTTTTTATAAGAAAAACTAAATTACTTGAGAATAATCATATCAATCAAAAAGTAAATCGTCTGGAATAAAAAAAATATTAAAAATATACACGGATTCCCTAACATCTGAATAAATAAGATGAAATGGCTTGAAACATTTTGTAAGACTCTAAAGAAAAATAGTTTGATGGTGTTTAAAAAACTGACAAATGTTATTTAATAAATTCAACATATTGTTTTAAAAGAAAGATGAAAATGTACACTACATTAGAAAAAGAAGATGACAAAGACACATGTGTTGAAGTCGTATTTGTTATGCATAAGAATGAGACTCTAATTAAGACTGAAGCATGTAAGACATCACTTTTTGATCATTTTGCGCATCATATAATTAGTATAATCCTCCTCGTTCCTTGACAATTTAAATTGTTCTTACAGTTGAAGGAAGCTAAAAAGTATAAAGGTTAAATATAGGTCACCCTCTGCTAATGTAGCGAATTTTGATTTCACCCCCTATAAAAAAAAATTGTAATTCTCCTCTTATCAAATTCAGATTCCCTCAATAAAGATCCTGGGGTCACATTTTCGCTCAGAAATATGAAAATATGTCCTACGTGGAATTGGGCAACTTACTGACTATGTAAATTTCGCACGTTGCATCAATTTTCGATTTACCCCTCATGAAATCTAGAGCTCACAAATCCAATTCGTGTTTTCGTAATCTTCTTCTTCCATTCGCATATAAGTTCTTCTTCTTCTTCTTTCTGGTCCGAATTTGCTTAGAAGATAACATGGTTGGAAGCAACACAGTTGGAAGAAGCAGCACACCTTCCGTTGGATTTTCATCTTTACCTAGATGTGGATGCGATAAGGCAATGAAGAGGGAGTTGAATGGTTTAGTGATATTAAGCATGAAAGAACCACTACTATTGCATATGGATTTAGATTTGATAGAATTGATGTTTCTCTATCCATTAATGAGGGTACCATAGTTGCTGGATTGTTAACTGATTCCAAAAAGAAGAAATGAGAAGATGATGAATATGTTAGTGATTAGCTAGACAGCTCTAATCCAGATGTTTATGATAATGATAATGGGCCTAAGTTTGATAGATTTAGAAAAGACCAATTGAGTAAGAATTTTAAGTTTAAGTGGGATATGGAATTCAATTCTCTAGATGACTTTATAGAGGCAATTCGTGAGTGGTCAATATTAAATGGTAGGAAAATTACTTTTGTGAAAAATGAGAGTTACAGGATAAGGATAGAATACAAGGCTAAATGTGATTTTTTAATGTTATGCTCTAAAGTGGGTCATAACCACAATTATGCTATAAAGACAATAATAGACAGTCACACATGTTCTAGGGTTTTAGATAATAGATGTGCAAACTCAAGGTGGGTGGCCAAGGCAACTGTGAAGAAAATGCAAACATATAAGATAGCTAGAATTTGTGATATTATTCAAGACATGAGACATAGTTACTCTGTGGGAATTACTGTGTCTAGGGCATGGAAGGCAAAGACAATAACAAAGAAGATAATTGAAGGAGATGCAGATAAGCAATATGCAAATTTATGGAGATATGCTGCTGAGTTGCAAAGGGTAAATGTTGGGAATACTATGAAGATCAACGTTGACAAACTAAACCCATCAATTCAACCAAGGTTTGGATATTTTTACTTTTATTTTGATGGTTGTAAAAAGGGATTCATAAATGGATGGAGACCATTTATTGGGGTTGGTGAATGTCATTTGAAGACAAAATATGGTGGTCAATTTTTAATTGTGGGTAGGGACCCCAATGACCAAGACTTCTCATTGGCCTTTGGTGTTGTGGAAACTGAAACAAAAGACAACTGGAGGTGGTTTCTACAGTTGTTAATGGAAGATGTTGGACAAGACAATAGATATGCCTTTATTTCATATCAGCAAAAGGTGTGTGGTTTTCATACTTCTCATTATATTTTAAATTATCTATTATTCGCTATATTTAAAGGTGTGTGACTTTCATATTTATTACAGAGTTTGATAGCAGTATTTGAAGAAATGTTTGAAAGAATAAAGCATAAGTTGTGTCTAAGACACTTGTATGCAAATTTCAAGAAAAAGGTTGGTGGTGGGTCATTAATAAGAGATCTCATGATGGGATCTGCCAAGGTAACTTACTACCAAGGATGAATGCAAAAAATGAATGAACTAAAGCAAGTGGATCTCAAGGCTTGGTTTCTCTGTCAAAACATGAATCTGATATTGTCTATCATTTGAATTGTTGTAGAAAAAGGTCAAGGCTGATGCAGATAATGCAAATCAAAGTGGCAGCAAAGCAGGAACAAATGCCAAAAAAAAAGGCAAAGGTAAAGTCAAACAAGAAGGCAAAGCCAGGAGAAAAAGGTCAAGTGAGAGAATTAAGCTAAAATGGTTTCAAAAACCTATCATAGGGCATGGTTCAAACCCTAACCAACCAATGTATTTGACAGAAGATGAAGGAGGTATTCTGATACAAGAAGGCAATAGATCTCAAAATGAAAAGATAACAAAGAAATCTCCAAAGAAGTAATTTTATGTACTTTTAATATGTCCTTATGTAATGACTTATGTCCTTTTATTATGTCCTTTTGTAATGCCTTGTGCCATTTTATAATGACTTATGCACACTTTTTATGTCATTTTATAATCATCTTATGAACTATTAATCTCATTACTTTTTTACCACAATTATTGAATGACAACAAAATGAAACATTTCATTAATACAAAGGCATTTTACACTGTCTGGGTAATCTTCAAAATACAATAATGCATTTTCTACATAAACTTCAAAATACATCAAGCTATAGCAAATTACAACAAGGTAAAAATTACATAAACGTGTACAAAATTGCAAACGTAAACCACGAGATCATAAGTGACATCTTTAAATTAAAATATTTCTTCTTCTAAACATCAATCTTCATCTTTGTTTTTTCTAACTTCTTTGCTGTAATTTCTAACTTCACATTTGTCATCTCATAGTTTTTGCAACTTGTTAGAATATTTGTATTCTCATTCATACAATGTCCAACTTCATCATCCCACACAAATAGATAACGGCTATTCTCATTCTACAAACACAAATAGCACAAATTGAATTTTATGATGTGCAACGTTATTAACTTTCTTACCCCTGCGTTACCACATCTCCAGAATTTCCTATTACGGTTTTGAACAGTGTTAATGACTCACATCTTAATTGCACGATCGCATCCACATCTGGGCAAAGATGAAAATTCAACCGAATGTGTGTTGCTGCTTTCAACTATGTTGCTTCCAACTATGTTATCTTCTATGCAAATTCTTACCAGAGAGAAGAAGAAGAGGTATACGTGAATGGAAGAAGAAGATAACGAAAACCTGAATTGGATTTATGAGCCCGAGATTTTACGAGGGTAAATCAAAAACTGATGCAACGTGTGAAAATTTACACTGTCAGCAAGTTGCCTAATGCCACGTAGGACATATTTTTATATTCTGAGTGAAAATGTGAGTCCATGATCTTTATTGAGGGAATTTAGATTTGGTAAGGGGGAATCACACAAAACATCTTATAAAGGTGAAATAAAAACTAGCAATATTAGTAGAGGGTGACATATATTTAATTCAAAATACAACGATACTCAAAATATTGATACACAATTATTATTTGTTGTAAGACTCAAAATAGAGATAAAAATGTTTAAATGACCGAAAATATAAAATACACATTTCAATTTAAAAGATTGAAGGTTAATGTAACCATAACTATTGACATAAGTAAAAGAATCGTTTTCAATAGTAATATAAGATATGCCTAAATGAAAAATATACTTTGAAAAAAAATGAGAATCAAATGTCTAAGTGATGTGTGACATCAGAATGAAAAGGTTCATGAAGGTAAGAAAAACACTTAGAAGGGGGGGTTGAATTCGGGTTTTGAAAACAAATAAGTTAATAAAAATA